CAAGCTCTGAGCCATAACATAATATTATTCACTTTGTATTTATTTCATCTCTTGTAGTCGAGCAACTGGCAGTGGGCTAAAGGCTGGTTGGTTTGAGTTTTCTTTTCCTTTCTTTTGTGCCACTTAGCTATATGTGCTAATATGCTGTCAATACTCAGGATGAATTCTTGCAAAACAAAGCCTTAAAAGATGTTAATTATGGTAAAGAGTTATGGTGAACACGGGTACTCGTAAATACGAATGAACGTCATTTACTTCGTTTCCGTATGCAGTCGTATACATGTAGCAATATGAATGCGTGTGTGTGTGTGCATATATATACATTATGGTTATCTCCTAGGTATGCTATATATCTGTATATATATATATATATTGATTATATCCTAGGAAAGGAAATGTAAAACTATTGTAAACTGAAACTAGAAAATATTAATACTTAAGAGGACTATGTTAACACAAATAAAAACTTGTAATAAACTTAAAAGAAACTTAAAATTTTTAATGATATGCATTACAATCATACATTTTTTAAAAAGAATAGTGCACACATAAAATTAAGGTAGAGCAGTACAACCTTTAAAATGTAAATAAATTATTACTGATTTCTCAAAAGAGGGAAGTAACTTTCCTCCAAAAAATCCACAATAATTTCAGTATGATCGCGTTTCATATCCTTCATACGTTTGAATGGACAACATTGAAGTCTGAAGAAGTAATATATCAGATTTGTGTGTAAAACAATAATTATTAATTTTCAAATATAAAATTAGCTCCTGAAAGAAAATAACATATTTATAAAACAATTTTATATATTATGATTATATACAAAAATGATAGGCATTATATATTATGATTATATACAAAAATGATAAGGAACTTAGAAGTATCAATGCATATAAAACCAATGTAAGAATTATATAATTTAAGCTGATATAAAATTATGATGTTTTAATTGTATGCATATTAAAAAATATAAAACAAATAGTATATAGTTTTAATCCTAACTTACAGTTTAAATTCCATGGCTGCTGTTGTGAAGATTTTTATCGAAAAGGATGTTCGTTGAACTGACTCTTAAAGGACCCTTAGCCTACCATTAAAAGAGGTGAGATAGAGTATTAAAACTGTATATATAGAGACAGGAATGGCAGTAAAAGAATACGAATAAATAATGGTCTTTCGTTAATAAAAGAAAAGTAGCCAGATCTATTTATATCAATATTTACAATTAAATACAGAATATTCAACTCTTCAAATCTAACAAAATATTTGAACACATCCTCCGTCGACGGTTTAAGATAGGACCATCATAACTTGTTAGTTTAAGGATTAAATTTGGAAATTAACGTCGGCTTTAGAAATAATAAATTGGAAGGAATTTGATTGTCTATAAGATGTTGTATGATTAAAATTCGTTCATCGTTTAATTAATCTACTTCACAGATAGTTTTTATTCTATTAATTTGATTGATTATTTTACTGCTAATAACTTTTTTGAGAAGTTTGTACGCCAATTAATTAATTTAATAGCAGTAAATTTAAATTATCTTCTATTGTAAAATAATATATTGTTTCTGTATTGATTAATATAAGAAAGAAAATATATTTCTTATTGACTTTGTAGAGACATTAGGTATTTTTTGGGGAAGCAGGCTAAATGAAAAATATGCAACGCCTTCGCCGGGAATCGAACTACGGACCTCTCAATAACGCTCTGAGCGTGCAAGCCATTACACCACAAAGGCATACTAAGAAGGCGGGAGAAATACCTTATATACTCCCCCTTTTAAAAAATGACTAGAATTTTTAGAGGACCCAATTGCCAAATCCTGATTGAGGAGAATCATCATCCAACACCGTTTTAGTTCGCGTCACTGTAGAAACATTAGCTGTTTTGGGGAAAGCAGGTAAGATGAAACATATGCAAACGCCTTCGCCGGGAATCGAACCACGGACCTCTCAATTACGCGCTGAGGGTACAGACCACCACACCACGAAGGTATGCCAAGAAATATCTTATAACTTGTAATAGTTTTATTAAGTGTAAACCTAGAAGGGGTATATATGGAATTTCTCAATTGATCCAAAATTATATCGTCTATGTAGTACATGTAGACATTATCTATATACCTTGTAGGTGAAATGTAACTGTAGGTACTGGAAAATAGTTTCAAATTAGTACTGTACAAAGAATTCTGAAATTGATATTCTTTTGTAAATAAGTATAAACTGTAGACTTGTAAACCATAGGCATTATAAGAATCCCGTTGATTTGTTTGAAAATAGTGTCGTTAAATTTAATGTAGTTGTAAAAAAACACTTTCTAAGTTTCATTATTTGCTTTAATTGTAGATCTTTGACTACGTTCAAATTGCCTCTGAGCATATACATTATGCGCTTATAATGATCGTCGACATAAAGAAAATAATATTCTTGTTCTTGATTTATGAAATTGCTTTAGAATCGAGTTCATAATGGTTAATGAGCAAACTGCATAAAGTATTTTAATATTTAAATGAAACAACCGTTCTTGCGTTCACTGGAGCGAAGAAGCGTTGATTATTAAAATATTAAATTTAATTTGTAGAGTATTAGGTTAATTGGAAGCAGAAAAGGCAAAAAATAGCAAACGCCTTCCCCGGGAATCCAAACACGGACCTCTGGAATACCGGCCCAGCGTGCAGAACCACTACACCACGAAGGACACTAGGAAAGTGGGAGAAATACCTTAAAATTTTGTCAGATTCGAGGTGTAGGATATTGATGCTGCAAGAAAACTTGTGGGATTTGTTATTCGAACTGGAGTTTATAATTGCACATATACAGTACAAGATCCTTTATAATTGCTCAAATCCAGTGCAAGATTAGTGTTATTTTACTTTGCATAAATGGTTTAAATACTTTTTTTTTTTAATTAAGAATACGTTCTTACATGTTCGCATCCAATTAATTACTTTTTGGTGAAATTGTAGAGACATTAGGTATTTTTTTGAAAGCAGACAAGATGAAAAATAGCAAACGCCTTCGCCGGGAATCGAAACACGGACCTCTGGAATACCGTGCGTGCAGAACCACTACACCACGAAGGATGCTAGGAGTGAACACTGAAGTGGGAGAAATACCTTATAAAAGTAGCTTAATTTAGAAATTTGTCTAAGTAAACTGAAAGTCTATTCTGATCCTGTGTAGACATAAATTTATTTTGCAGTTTCTTAACTTCTTTTTTTCTTCTATTAGTTTATTTACTGAAAAGTTTAAATTGGTTGTATGAAGATGATTTATCAGTATCTCTAGTTAATATGTGTGTTAAGCCAATAGGGGTAAAGTGTTTTGAGCTTAGGCATTAACCCATTAGCCGCTGGTGTTGCGTTGACGCAACGGTCAAAATAAATGCGTATATAAATATGACTACCTAAGATATTTTATACCAGCAGATGATTTTGCGTAGGGAATATTATGAAGATTATTTCTGTAAAAAAATAGTTGCCTTCAATAATCATTTTGTTTATAATAATTAATCTCATACTTTAAGCAAAATTTAAGCAAAATTTTCGACCGGGTATTTTTGCTGAAAAAATTTAAATCGTTGCGAATCGCCGTCCTTATGAGTGATCTATTTTTAGTCAAGGTCAATGTTTATCAGAACATTAAATCAGTCAGATGTTTATATTTGTATTGGGAAGAAAGGGAAAACAGGTGTTGCGTTGACGCAACGTCAACAGGAAACGGGTAGTCAATCTCCTTTTTCACTCATTCCTTTCGATGTTCTGGTTCATGTTCTGGTTGTTTAAAAATGCCTAGAACTAGGTATCTTACATTAGAAGAAGCCCTTCAAAGATTTTTTGATGAAGAAATAGATGATGATAATGTTAATAATGACCAGAATGAAACTGATATTGTTGTTGTCCCCCCAGAAATTGCAGAGGCTTAGTGACGAAGAAGAAAGGAATGGCAATGTTTTACATAATGATAATGATATTTTACCAAATGATACTGCTGAGGAAGTTGAAATTCTCGTAAAAAGTACGTTTCAGCCTTCTTAAAGCAGTTATAGTCATACTAAAAAGTTTAAAAAGCAGAAGACTGAAATCTTGAAGTGGATAAAAAAGAAACTGTTAGTTATGTCTCAGGTAGAACATGAAGAAAGAGATAGAAGAGAAATTATAAAAGACAGAACAGAAGGTAAAACTAGTGCACATATTTTCGATTTTCATTTTGGTTTACACATTTACTCTCTTCTCGTTGAACAGACAAATATATACGCTCAAGAAAAAAAAAATGCCCAGAATTTATTGCATCTGAAGCCTATATGAGAAAATGTATTGAAATATTATTGCTTACAGGATATCATTCTTTACCTCAAAAAATGTATTGGTCTTTTGATAAGGACATTTCTGTTCCTGTTGTATGAGAATTGATATCACGTTTGCAGTACAGGAATATGAAGCAGAATTTGTATTTGACAATAGTGAAATTGACAATACTGATAAATTATATGAGGTGAGACCGTATCTAAACTTACTAAATATCACCACTTTTTACTACTGGAAATATAAAGTTTGTTTTAGATTTCAGACGCGAGAATGCATCATTTCTTTTGTAAACTCCTATTGAGAGTGTAGAATTAGCTAGAAATAGATCAGCAACAGGAAGACCTAGTAAATTCAGCATTCAAAAACCATTGCATGGAGATGGCAGACATTTTATCGTAAAGTCCGTTGATAACAAAAGACTTTGTTGTAAAGAGTACCATAGCCAGACTGTTTATAGATGTAAAGTATGTAATATAGCTTTACATCATGTTTGTAATCAAGCTTTTCATGCTTGAATCTTTCAAATGAAATAATCTGCATTTGTAAAAGAAATACAATGTATATTTTAATATTAAATTAATTACAAGTAAAGTGATTTGTAGATTTATAAAACGTTATACAGCTAAAAGTAATCCTGTGCTTCACTCAAAGAAACGTCACACGAGTACAATCCTACTCACTAAACATCCGTAGTCTTATTCCGCTGACGTTGCGCGAACGCAACACTCGCTTTTTCCACAGGTAAGAGCATTTTTTTTATTTTCAATGTAAATTTATGTTATAAATGCTTAATTTAACATTTGTTATTATTTTCATGAGAAAAGAAACATTCCTTGTAGTTTTGGCGGTTAATGGGTTAACAGTGATTTCTTGAAACAATCTATCTTTGGTTTGAGTAAATGCCTCTAAAATCTGAATGTCAGTTTTGTGAAAGTTGTGTGTTTGAAAATTTTCCAATTCTACTGTGCTAATATAGTTATTTTTAGAAAATGCTGTTTAGTTACTTGCTTGTTTAAAAGTAAAGAACTTTTTAATGCTTCATTCATTTATAATTTTCATAAGATTAAGATTTTTTTTTGCCCTAAGTATATTTTACATTACAGGTTTTTCAAGGTATTAGGTAGATACAATTAAATGTTTTTCAAAAAATATTATGTCCTTATGTCAGAGTTTATGGAGGGCATATAATTTTAGTCCTTTAGAATTACTGTCCTCTAGAGTAATGACATTATATTTTGCTGGATTCATATATGTAGGTGTGGGGGTATTTACATATATGCGTAAATAAAAGAGTATAATTTATGATTTTTGCATTTAGATGTCTCTGATTTTCTTAAACCTTTCAAATTTAACAATGAAATCGTACATTTTCTTGCGGTTTGAAAATCGCATATATTTTTTTAGTCTTTTGAAAGGAATTATCCATTCTATGCATCAGTTAAAGTAAAATGCAAAAATTATGATTAGAGCTGATATTCAAAATAAATACGAATAAATAAAATACAGCATATCAAACAAAACCAATATAAATTACGATAGTCATGCGTTTCATCTATTAAAAGTCCTTTAAACGATTTTTTGAAATTAGGAAACTTGTGTTCAAATATTTTTTAAACTGTCAAATATATTTTTGTCTGATTATACTATGTTTACATTTTTCTGAGAATTTAGGTTAACTTTGCCCTCTGGTATAGTTATGTGCGTATAAGCGAATAAGTTTTAATATCTAAAAAATCTCTAGGAATGAAAAAAATAAATAAATAAATAAATCTTTCTGTATTTTAAGCTATGTGTGTGTCATTACTTAAAACCCTTTAATAATATCTCTAGCTTTAACGTCTTGCTGTAAAATGTGATTTAACCTTCTAACAAACTTTAGGCAATTTATTGTTTCGTCTAAGAGAATAAGTATAGAAAGTTCCGAAGGGTATAAAACCCCTTTTATTCTAAACTCAATAACATCAAAAAAGGCATTTATAGTTCTTACAAAGTCCGGCAGTATTTACGGCGAGAATCGCAAAGTAAAAATCCGAATGTAGAGCTAAGTTTAAATATCTAATAACAAAGTCTGCATATGCTAAATCGCAAAGTTTACTCGGTTTCACCGACAGGAATTTAAACTATCGGCAAGAATAAATGCAACACATAAGACTATATATGTTAACTAGAATAGCGAAACTAGTAGTGTTAGCTTCAAATGGAAGAATACGCTCTTACTTAACAATCTCAACTAATCGGCATTTTGGAGGGAAAAGAAAACGAGAAGGGAGAGTAAAAATTCTAAACATAAAGTAACTGGTTAAACAAATTAAATAAACCTCATATATCAATAATAATGAATAAATATTGAGTGACCATACAGTTAAAATTAAACATAAAGTTTCAGTAAAAAACGCAAAGTTAAATAAACTGTGTTTCAAACGATTAGACATAAACGCTAAAACGAGTCATCGTGCAGTTAATACATTTTAAAGATTGGGAGAAATGCGTAATATAGAAGTAACACTGATGTTTTCGCTTATTTGATTAAGACATCGCAAGGGCTACCTGCCTAATGAACGGATCCTTCGAAAAGGATTTTGTTAGAGAAAATTGACCTTTTCTATGTTACACATGGTGAAAACCACAAAAGTGCCCATACATCCGGCGCGTTAGCCGGAATTCGGAGCCAGGTTGAACTAACAGAGTTCAGTGCAGGTCCCTCGGCCACTGATGGGGTGTGAAGCAAGCACTGACAGGAGCGATGTTAAAGAAGAATATAGTTTATTCATGCGGCATAAAATGTGTGGGACGTGAAGCGAAGAGAGAGAAGATTTTGTTAATTTTCCACGTTTGAATTGATGGAAGAAAGGTTTTGTTGGAAGAAAGCACGCGATTTCATGTGACGTCATTGTATGTCGAAAATGATTCATTAATGTGAGCATTTTAAATATATAGCTGCTGTTGGAAACTTTTTATTTGAGATAACGATGATTGACAACGTATGCTATTTTCACAATTTTTTTTTTTTTATATTGAGAAAAATGTGTTATATTACATTAAATTTAAATCATGACATCATAGGTATATGTACTAACTTCAACTGTGCAAAGATTTTGTTTCCTGGTTTGGCTACAAAAAAAAAAAAAAAAAAAAAAAAAAAAAAAAAATATTTACGAATCCGTTGTTGCTTGGAGATAATGAAGTGCTTTAATTCATAGAGAAATGTTTTTATGCACTTTCTTTTCAGAAGTATAAAGAACTCATAAGTTTTGCTTTGGTCGCAGCTACCAGCTTTTTATACAGTACATTAAATTAATAATTCATTTTATTTTCAGTTTTTCAATGCATAGAACTTATAATTTTTGCCTTGGCCGTAGCCCACGTATCTGGCGAGCTGTTCGCTAGTAAGCGTTAAGGTATGACGATAACTCAAGAATACGTAATTTCTAAAGCAGTTGGATACAAGTAGTTAATTATGTAGTTAGATACCTTAAAATGTTATAAATGCTTTTATTCTGTATTATCTATTTGGTTGTTTAAAAAGTAATGATACGTTTTCTATGTGCTCCAAAAGTCCTGTATTTATATAAAGAACAATGGTTAGTCAATAGCATACTGCCCATTTTGTTTGGTAAAAGTTTACAATCGGGTGCTCATGTATTTGGCGATTCTTTTTTTGAATCCAAGATCGGCACCAAAAAGGCACGATTTCAAGATAGTCGCTACGTAAAATCAATATAAGAAGTCAAAGAAATGCACAAAATCGGTGTCCATGCACACATCGATCTATTTTCCCTTAAAAACATCAGATAATTGCACATACTAGGCATTGCGCACTGCCTTAACTTTGTCCATGTACCCAATCTATTTTCACTTAAAAAAAGTCAGAAAGCAAAGTTAAAACTATCATGATAACCAGAAATGGGGTTTCATCGCCAAAACTGAACAAAATGTGTCGCTAATCGAAGGGCCACTTCGACCCACTAAAGCCAATAACGTTTTGCTTTCTTTTAATGAGCTTCGTAATCCTCATTGACAAAAGACTCTAATTTCATCGGCGAAAGGCTGAACAAAGTGCTAATTTACGGCGTCATTTGAAATGAATGTTATACTACGAAAGAAATTTTGAAGAGAGCAAAACAAGTGAAAGACTTGCACAAGATCAGATGAGTATGGTATGTGGCAACAATTTTCATCCAAAATCCAATATTTTTTGTCAGTAATCAAACTTTTTTTTTCAAACTAGTTTTGTTTATTAAGCTCTGACCAGCGATCCAACAAATCAGATCGAATGTGTACTGTCGCCAGCACCACAGTTTGAAATTCATGTTCCAGGAATTTTAAGGGCTCATTTATGTTATGGGAATTGCATTCCATCCCGATAAAGCGAGACCACGCGCAAGTTTGTTCTCTTGACAAAAGTTATCGAAGCTCGGTTGAAAAGTGTTGTCATGCACATAGAATGATATTTAAGCCTTTCAAAAAGGCGCAACTTAGATATAAATGGTTTAAATTATTGAAGTATTTCATGAGAAACGTCTAATTTTAAACACAACGCTATTTCCATACGTCTGTTCGCTAAAAGCAAACTCACGTTTTTTAAACATAATTGAAAAATGCAGCTTAGTGCAATGATATATGAATTCGGAAATTAATTAAAAGTATTACCAATTACTAATGTCAGGATGAAAGTAACTTAATAAACTTTAAATAAAAAATTAAAAAAAAATATGCAAACTCTTTTCTTGTCCCCAAAAAACTTTCAAATATCATTGTAGAGAACATAAAATAAATAATCGTGTAGAATTTGAAAAAAAAAATTAAATTTTATTTCATAAAACATTATAACTTCGACGCCATTTTAAGTGCGCTACGTTTTGAATTCATTAAATCATGGATTATGTCAAGAAGGGGATTCACATCTAATTTAAACGTATCTTCTTCGGTGTTCCATATTACGCCAAAAACCTTCAAAGGACGTTCGTTAGATTTCCTCACATCAGAAATACCTTGTTCGTGCCATAAATTTCTCAACTCATCTGAGTTACTTTTACACTTTTTAAAATTCCTGTTCGCATCTTTAAGAAATTTTACAGCACTCTGTGAAAATTCTAAAGCTTTCTCTATTGTATCTATCTGTTCCTTAAAACGATCATCCACATAAATTGCTGAGTTAAGCATTTCCAAAGTTTCGCTTTGTTTATGTTTGTATTTTCGCATGCGATATTTAATTGTCGCAGCAAAGATAAACGTGCTTGATGTCATTCCAAAGAGCACGCGAACCATTCGTAAAACTTTGTAAGTTTTCCATTCCTTTTAATCTGGAAATAAAAAAAAAAAAAAAAGAAAAGAAAAGAAAATCGTAAATAATCTTTATCCTGTTCCGCTGTTCCTATGGTCAAAACTGCTTCCTGAATATCACTTCCCATCTAAGCCGAAAGTACATTTCTGTTCTTATCTTCACTATAAACTCCATTATTTTCTCTAAATTTGCCCCTCGAGTTGTTACATCTTCGATTTTCAACAGCGAAGTTGTTAGACAAGTTTTCTGTTTTTTTTACCAGAATAATTTAGTTGTATACATTCCATTTCCATACTTTAAATTATTTTCCAATCGAGAGACAAATTCCTTGTTAAATTTGAAATTACAACTGTCCGTATCATCTATCGCCAATAAATCTAACTTCTAAAAATGTGTTAGGTTTTAATTTATGGCGCAACATTCAGTTTTCATAGCATAAATGTTCTGATTCGAATTT